TTCCAACCAGCTATCGCCCAATTTCTCTTATTAATGTTGATCTCAAAATAATTTGTAAAGCCCTGGCCAAAAGATTAGAGAAGGTAACTCCCTTCATAATACACCCTGACCAAACTGGTTTCATTAAAGGTAGACAGTCATCCACAAACTCACGTAGATTAATTAATTTGATAGATTTCTCTTACAGTAGAAACATAGAAACTAGTATATTTTCTCTAGATGCAGAAAAAGCTTTTGATAGATTTAACTGGAAGTTCTTATTTGCAACTTTACATAAGTTTGGCTTTGGGAACTTCTTCATAAACTGGCTACAAACATTATACAGTTCACCAATAGCACGTGTCAGGACGAACGACCAAATATCAGCTAGCTTCTGTCTTCAGAGGGGGACCAGGCAGGGATGCCCACTCTCCCCCTCACTATTTGCTATCTTTATCGAACCACTAGCAGCAGCAATTAGGCAAACAACAGACATTAAAGGGATAAAGTGTAAGAAAATAGAACATAAGATCAGTCTTTATGCAGATGATGTTTTACTCTTTCTCCAGAATTCTCAATCCTCTCTCTCCCAAGCAATAGAACTGATAAACTCTTTTTCAAGAGTTTCAGATTACTCTATGAACTGGTTAAAATCCACAGTTCTACCAATTAATTTCTCATTTGTCAATTTGCTTAATACACAATTGGAGTCAGGGAATATCACATACCTGGGAATTAATGTCTCTCCCAAGTTAGCAGATCTAACCAAACTAAACTACATCCCACTTTTAAGGAAAGTGGAAGATGATCTTGCAAGATGGAAATCCTTACCAATATCACTCATGGGGAGAGTTGCTACAATTAAAATGATGGTCTTACCCAGAATAAATTACTTATTCTCGATGATCCCAAACAAACCTCCAGCTGACTGGTTTAAATCTCTGGACTCCTCAATTACTAAATTCCTTTGGCAGGATAAACCTCCACGAATTAGCTTAAAAATGCTTCAGAAGACCAAAGACAGAGGAGGACTGGATTTACCCAACTTTTATTATTACTTCTTAGCCAACAGGCTGCAATATATACCAAGATGTTTGCAAGATAACCCATTAGATGAGTCCTGGTTAGATATAGAACAGACACTTTGCAATACGATAGAGCTTTCAGACTTACCATTTATTAGCTCAAGCATAAGAAAACATGAAAGCTTTAAAAGTATTAGTATCAGCACTTCTCTGACAGCATGGTGGGAGTATCTTAAAATGACAGAGTCTTCACTAGTACCATGCAGACGCACACCTATCTGGAACAATCCTGACATTTTGCAAAACAACAAAATGATGAACCTTCCGGACTGGAAAAATAAAGGAATCCTATACCTGGAACACATATATGAAGGATTGGACTTCATCCCATTTAATCAAATAGTCTTCCAATTCGGAATGGATAAGAATAGCTTTATAGAATATCACCAAATTAAATCTGTAGTCAAACAAAAATTTAAGCTCAATAAAACAGAATTACAAACACCACCAAGGGTATTAGACTTTTATAATCTCAACCCCACAAACTACTGTCTAAAGTATATAAGACACTGTCCAAAATAGACGATAAAATTGCAATTCCTATTGAAAAATGGGAGGTGGATCTATCAGTTAGCTTTGACCAGGGCTTCTGGTCCCAAACTTGTTTAAAAACTTTTAAAATGATCAGACACCCCAATTTACAATTAATTCAGTACAAAATTCTACACAGAGTACACTATACAGGTCATCGGATGTTCAAGATGGGGTTTGTGTCGTCTGACACCTGTACACACTGCACAAACAACATTCCTGACAATTACATTCATGCACTGTGGTCCTGCCCACCTGTCCAGGAATTTTGGGGTCGAGTATGTGAGGATCTGTCAAAATGTCTGAAATGTCATATCCCAACTTCCCCCTCTCTTTGTTTACTGGGACAGCTGCACGATGTCCCGATTGCAACATCTTTGGTTCACGTGGTTCTGACTGCCATGTGCATCGCTAAGAAAACTATCCTCTTGAATTGGAAAAATAGAGAAACTCTCTGCATTAACCAGTATAGAAATCTTTTGTTAGATCATATTGCACTTGATATAGCCTCTGCTTCCACTTCAGATGAATCTCTCTGGGCTCCTTTGATCGGTTCCATCACATAGCGAGGGTGGGGGGGCCATTGATGTTGTCCTGCGGGATGGTGTGGGGGGGGGGGGGGGGGTCTGAGTTTGGAGTATCCGGATGTTCCCTGGAGGTGGGTTCACTGGGGGTGTCTGGGACTGGGGGGCTGTTGCCCCCCTCTGGAGGTGCTTGGGTTGCCTCGGGGGGGTGGACTGCTGGCGGTTGTGAGTGGGGCCCCTTGGGGATCTTGGCGGCGGCCATAGGTCACTGCCTGGCGGCTGCAATACCCCTGGGCGGGTCTGGGTGGGGGCCTGGGGGCTCGGGGGTGGCCGGCCCCGTGTGGGGATCTGGGCGGGGCCTTGGGGGTCGGGTCCTGACTTGTATGCTGCCGGGAACAAGGCAGGAACACGCAGCAGTGCCTGGCCCGGGTTCGGGGGCATCAGATAGACCTTGGCTCCTCTGCCGTTCCATCACAGGGGAGGGGGAGGTCCAGGACGGGGAGGACCAAACCTTACCTGGATGTCCCATGTCTTATATATTCTGGAAGTTGTGCAAATGCAGGGGTGGGCATAGATATTCTGCTGGGATGGGGCTGGGTTGGTGCCCTCGGACTCCGTGAGGCTCTGTCATACTGCTGCTTTGGGCCCTGGCAGGATGGGCTGGGGTCTCCATGCCCTGGGTGGCAGTTTGACAACAGAGGTGCCTATTGGGGCCAGTAGGGGAGCTGGCTCCCTGGAGGGCTAAGCCCAACCAGCCATTCCTCCCCATCCCCGCATATTTCTCTCCTCCTGCTCCCTCACATCATCACACAAACATACACATAGGACCTTGGGGGTGGGCAAGTCAGGGAGTGCGGGTATGGACCCCATTTCTGCATTCCTGTGGCAACCTGCCCCCCAATTTTATTTGCACCTTATACACTTCCACTGACGACATTCCACACAAACACACACTTAGGGCCTTGGGAGTGAGCACATTCAACGGCATTTGGCAGGGGGATATTTCAGCCTCCTCCCGAGTGCCGGTGCCCACTTCCAATTTTAAACCGCACTTAGACACTGATGGCTGAGGGTGTAAGTGGGGTGGTGCGGTGGCATCAGCTGGCATATGCCGGATGATGCCCGCACTGCCCACTCACCTCAGCCATGGAATACACCTCATGATCACACAACACTATATTGGAGCAGGTGGAGGGAGACTAGGGGTCTTAGCCGCCTCTGTTGTTGCTAGGCTTCCTGGGGCTGGAGGCTAGGAGGGAGATCTGGCCGTCTGGTTGGGGTCTGGGGTGGTGGGTTGCTGTGCTCAGCGTTGGGCGGGGGAGCCTGCTCATCAGCACCCCAGCAGAAAGGGTCAAACTCTGGTTACCGGTGATGGTTGTAGCCCATGTGCAGCAGTACCGGGACCAGAGCTAATAGGGTGTGTATGGGGAGCATGAGTGAGTGTCCGGCGTGCATTTTTGTAAGTCTTGGGTTGTATGTGCATGTGTGAGCATGAGGGAGGGAGTGTGTGACTGTGTTTGTTTATGACTGTATATGTCAGGTGGGGCCTTTGGGTCCTCCCCTCTCCTGGAACTTCTCTTGATGATATAGATCTTTGTCCCCCCTCCCCCTGCCACACCTGGTGTGGGGGCTTGTGCCATGGTCTGCCTGAGTGTTCGTGGCAACGGGGTCTGGGGGTTTAAGATTTTGGCATCTGCCTGATAGATCCCGGTGGCTGCCTGGTGGGGTCTGGGTCCCTGGGCTCTGCTGGGTCCCCGGCGGGGGTAGTCACCCCTGGGTCCCGGGTCGCTGGGTCCCGGGCTCGGCCGGCTAGGGGGTGGGAGGCTGCGGGCGGGCCTGTGGGCTTGCCGCTGATATCTCCAGGGACTCTGCCGGCTGCTGGTTGTGGCCCCCCGGGGCGATCCTCTGTGCCTCTCGAGGGGGGCAGGGGCCTTTCTGGTTGCAGTCTCCTTGGGGTTCCTGCATTCTGGGGCAACGCCTGGATCTCTGGGACTTGGAGCTCCCCCCGTCTCCTGCGCATCTTTGGGGGGCGGATCTGTGGTCCCTCACACTCTCTGTTGGACGCTCCTATAGAGAAACCTTAAATAAACAAGCGCGTGTACACACACAGGTGCTCACATGGTGCTCTCAAAAGTATGGGCTTGGGCACGTTCAACACATGTCTTAAGACTATGGGGGGCACTTAATGCATTGTGATTTATTATCGTGATTCTTCAGTTAAGCAATGTTGATTATATATATATATATTGTTTTTTTTTTTTTTTTGTTTGTTTTTTTCATCAAGTTGACGAAGTGATAGGTAGATCTTGTTGTATTGTTGTTGTGTCCCTTTTTTGTGTCCTTTTTTTTTTTTTTGTCTTTTTCTGCAGGTCTAGAAGCAGACTCTTGTTCATTGTTTATTTTTGTGGAACCCCCCCCCCCCCCCCCCCCCCTCTCTCTCTCCACCTTTTCTCTTCCTTTCTCTTTCACCTCTGTCTCCGTGTCTGGTCGGAATTACAAAGCATTCAACAACAATAACAATAAAGTTTTAAGTATCAGGCGTGACATTAAAAGCAAACGCTTTGATGCTCCACCTGAGAATAAATCTGTAAGGCTTGTCACCAGCATTCAGACATCAATTCTGCTTGCTTCACAGCCAGACAGGACACGGTAAAAAAAAAAAAAAAAAAAAAAAAAAACAGTTAACGAGCGAGCTGTATGTGGTTACGCTCGTCTGCTCACTCAGATTTCAGCTTGCAGCTCTGAAAGAATGCATCGCCATTTGAATTGTACAGCTCCGATTTGACAATTCAAAAAGCGTGAGTAACAGAAGGCTTTGGTGGTTATCTGTGTGAAGTTTTGTGTTCCTACCATGAATCTTCTAGAAGATATGAGGAGAATATTTCAGCTGTTTGTGAGCCACACAAGCCTTCTCTAATATGGAGGAAAGCTGGCACAGTGCTCCTTGTGAGGTTTGTAGCACCAACATCATAAAACTTACAGCAAAACTGAAGACAGCACACTGAAGCTGACTAACAAACCTACTAAATTTGAGAAAATTATTAGTTTACTATAAAAGATGTGGTCGGTGGAAATTTTTGTTTCAAGATTTCATAAATCATGCAATTAACAGTGCTCAGATGTCATTTCAGACCTCTGAAACGTCTCATCGCCATTCAAAAACTGCTGCACCTACTGGAAAAATTCAAATAGTGTGACCGGCAGAAGGCCTTGGTGATCATCTGTGTGAATTTTTGTGTGCCTACCATGAATTGTCTAGAAGCAATGATGAGAACATTTTAGCTGTCTGAAGCCGAAAATCTCAGTTTCTTTAACATGGTTTCAATAAGACAGAGGCTGTGTCTCAATTCAGGGTCTGCATCCTACGTCGGCCGGATTCGTCGGCCGGTTACGTCACTGCACCGCGACTAGGCCTGTCCCAATTCGAAGACTCCTTCAAATGCGGTCGACGAATGCGGCCTTCTTTTCGTCTGAATGAAGGATGGGTCGGGTGTATCCTTCAACAGGTAGCATTTCCCAAGATGCCTTGCGGGCCGGCCAGCAGAAAAACTTAAAAACAATGGCGGACAGTGAAGCGGGAGCTGTCGGAGAGGATTGCGCATATAAATGTCAGTATAAACTTGAAAACTGTTAGGTTAAGGACTTTTTGTGATACATGAACGTTATTTTAGTTAGAAATGTAACAGTAAAAGTGCTTGTATTGCGGTCTCGGCTCGTATGTTCGGCCGCGCTCGGTGTCGTATTTCTCCCGCTACGTTTTCCCCCTGATTTTAATAGAAGTTTGTATTTTAGGAACAAAAGAGAAAACCAGGGAATTTCTTAAGCTTAGGGCGGAGATGGACCACATGATCACCGGAGCAAAGTATTCGGCGGCTGTGGCATGGAGGTACAATAACATCTCATATTTTAAAAACTCGTTTGAGTTTATTTTTTCTGCGAAAACATGAAAGGAATAACCCGTTGTCCTCTTTTCTCTTCCTGTTTCTTTTCTTACATGTTTGTTAAGACTATTCTGGAGAAAATGGGCATCCAGGGGAAGGTGCCAGCGATGACCAGCTTCTGGATCTGATCAGGGAGGACATGAAGCTGCAGATGGAGGCAGAGCAGCAGAGGGCACAGGAGAGAAGGAATAACTTTGACAGCTTTTTACTTTGCTAGAAAAAAATGGTTAATAAAGATTAAACATGTACATATAAAAGAAATATCTAAATAAAATCAGTTCTGCATTAAACTCTTGAATTTTATTTTTGTTTACAAATGAGAATTGTTCAATATTACAGGGTATCCGCTGTCTTAAAGTCTTAAAAGGTGATAAATCGGTTTTGGTCAAATTAAGACCCTTAGAAAGTATTAAAAACTATTATCACATCTTTGCTCAGGCTCAGCTTGTCGAAAGTATTTTCTCTGAATTAGCTCTCCAACAGTCAAGAAAATGATTAACCCCCAGAGACCCACGGTTGTAATATTACAACATCAGATTTAAGTCTACAAGAATAAACCTTCCCCATTTTTTTCTTTTTAAAACTACATTTACATTGCTAATAGGTCCTATTGTTCAGTTCTGCAACACTATTGACTGTTAAAATGTGTAAATAGGCCCGTTTATCTGGCCTAGAACAACATGTGAAAGGTTAAATAAAGATTTTGCTGTTGTTTTCTAAATTTGGGTTTCTGGGGGTTAAAAGCTAAATAAAATGTCGAGCTCCATCGTTTAAAGTTCCTTCTCCCTTCTGCCCAGCGGTTCCACGGTTGCTAGGCGACGGAACGTTCGCGGAGGGAGTTCATGAAGGCTAGTCCTGTCCAAATTCACAGCCGTTAACATCCGGTCTACCCGGCCGACGGAGGACGCAGCCCACGTCGGCCGAGTGGGCTGGGTCCTTCGAAGGATGCAGACCCTGAATTGAGACACAGCCAGAATCAGGGTCTTTCCTCCTTCTGAGGCTTGTAGAAAAAAAATGTAACACTTAAGGACAAAATGAAACCCATTCTGAAAAGCTGAGAAAAATTCCTACTTTTTGAGATATAATTTGTTTCGGTACTCCAAACGGTCTGGGTGTTGGAAAGAGTTGTTTCCAGAAAATGTGAAGGTCAAAAGTTAGTGTGGAATTTTCAGGTTCAGGTGAATATTCTCAAAGAAATGAATCGTACGGCCACAATGTTTGGAGTACATTCATGATTTATAGCTCAAAACGAAGGTGTATCTGTTAGCTGCAAGCCAGCATGCATCTCATTTCAATCAGATTTACGGTTTTCACAGGACAATGCCAGAAATGGAGCAAGGGAGGGTCTTTGCTCCTATCTCTGCCCAATTTAATTTTTGTGATTTTTTTCTGAAAATCTCAAGCCGTACCTCAACTTCTACCTGTCATTTTAGAAAAACTGTAATAGATATCAAAAAGATTTTTTTACCAGTAATAGCTGAACGTCTTATGAGTTGTTGAAACTTGAATGAAGTATCTAGGTTAAAGTTAACCTATAAGAGTAAGAGTTCAAAAAAGTGATAGGATTTAGCTGAAAATTGAACAACCCCATTCATTTCAATGAGACCAAAAATCACAGAAAAAGCTGAATATGTCAAAAAGTATAAAATATTTTAATACCAAAAGTCATTACCGGCATAAGCTGAACGAGCTGAGCATTTTGATACCAAAATTGTGTAAATACTTGAAGAATTGTGGAAGTAGTTAAATGCCAAAAAACGTACGGAAGCAGAATGATAAACTATAAAGAGAAACAGGATCACTATAGTTAGAATGCTTTGCAGCATTCAAACAATGAACTAATTATACTGGAGGTGAGCAGATTAGACAAAATGGTAAACTGCCTGGTAAAGGGAAAACTTGGTTGGGACGAGGACACAAACTGAAATTGGGACATGGAGTGGGGCCGAGACTGGAAACAAGTAAGTGACAAAAATTGCAGTTCCTCTGTCATCTGCTAGGGGCTGGTTCCACTCTCATGTTAAAAAATCAAACCTGTTTAAAAACATTGCATCACCTGTGGGTGGTAGTGGTCAATCCATCTTATACATAGCACTCACAAACAAACAAGAGTTCTGACCCTCCTGTCATATCTTTAAGAAACTATTCTTTCCTCCTTACTATCTGTATTCAGTACCAGTGCTCCGCCCACACGCATCACGCATAAAAGAAAAACTCATTATCTGCATAAAAGGCATTGATCCAAACCTTCATACTGTCAGACTCCAACCTCCACCATGGCCAAGACCAGAGAGCTATCAGGGAACACCAATATTGAACACCTGTACTGTAAGACTTGGATTAGCCAGTCTACAAAATGCAAGCAGTTTGGTTAGAAGAGCAATGGGAACAATTATTAGAAAATGGAAAAAATATAACATTGCTGACAAATTCCCTTGACCTGTAGTTCCATGCTAGATCTCACCTCGTAGGGTACAAATGGTCTTGAGAACAGTGAGGAAACCACCCAGAACTACAGTACATGAGGGAATTGGTCCTGTCTAAAGTTTGCCAAAGACCATCTGGATGATCCAGAGGAGGATTGAAATCATCTCATGTGGTCAGATGAGTCCAAAATAAAACTCATTGATGCCACCTGCTGAGTTTGGAGGGAGATGAATGCTGGGTTGCATCCCAAAAATACCATACCCCTTTGTGAACCCATCCACCCATTTTCTGAACCCACTTGTCCACGTAGGGTCGCGGGGGGGGGGGGGGGGGGGGGGCTGGTGCCTATCTCCAGCGGTCAATGGGCAGTCAGGCGGGGTACAGCCTGGGCAGAGAGCCAGTCCATCGCAGGGCAACACAGAGACACAGGACAAACAACCATGCACACACACTCACACCTAAGGACAATTTAGACGGACCAGTTAACCTAACAGTCATGTTTTTGGACTGTGGGAGGAAGCCGGAGTACCAGGAGAGAACCCATGCATGCACAGGGAGAACACGCAAACTCCATGCAGAAAGACCCCAGGCCGGAAAGCGAACCCAGGACCTTCTTGCTGCAAGGAAACAGCTCCAACCACTGCGCAGCCCCCTTAGTGAACCATGAAGGTTAAAACATTATACTTTGAGGATGCTTTTCTGCTAAGGGAACAAGATAACTGATCTATATTAAAGAAATGATGAATGAAGCCATGTATCATGAGATTTTTGGACAAAAACACCTTCCATCAATAACTCCAATGAAGATGAAACATGGATGGATCTTCCAGCAGGACTATGACCCCAAACAAACTACACGGACAATGATGGAATTGCATGGCAAGTTTCTGGATTGGTCAGTCTCCCTACTTCAATCCAATAGAGAATATGTGCAGGAAATTGAAACTCTGTGTTGCTCAGCAACATCACAGCTCTAGAGAAGATCTGCATGGCAAAAGGGGCCAAAATACCTGCTACAGTGTGTGCAAACCTGGTAAAGACCTACAGTATGTTTGACCTCTGTCATTGCCAACTAAGGTTATATTACAAAGTGCTGAGGTGAACTTTTGTTATTGACCAAAATCTTATTTTTTTGCACATTTGCACAATAAATTTCTTTAAAAATTCCTTTTACATTATGTCTCTCACAGTTGAAGTGTATCCATTACAGACCTCTCTCCTTTATTAAGTGGGACAACTTGCACAATCGGTGACTGCCAAATGGATACCAAGTGTTCAGTTCTTCTAATTATGGTGATTTCAGCTCATTGTTGATGGAAACCTCAAAATCATTGTCACAGATAATTGGAATACAGTGGAATTGTTACATAGTGTGGCCTCATGGAGTCTCACTCAAATCTACTAAATACTGTAATATTCCTGCTGTCTCCGTCTGGGCCAGTAGGCTACACAGTCGTGTGTAAGACTGCAGGCGTGACACTTGTCCAGAGAGCTTGCCATGGTTTTGGACACAAATGTGGGAGGTCAGTGCTAAAGGAGCTAGACTATATTGAGAGCTGTATCCAATTGTATTATTGGGAAGTTGGAAGGAAATACCAAGATAAAAAAGGAGCTCAATCAACAAGGATGGCCGTAGCCTGGAGAGGATTGTGATGCAAGTGGGATATTTGGGAGAGGATAATGAGAACTGGACTGGAGTCAGAACTCGGGCTGCAGGTGTCCTAATTCACTCCTGAACCAGAGAAACAATCAGAAGCATCTTACATGCTGGAGGTGGCTGGGCCAGATGGCACCATTTTTGTTTTCCGGAGCTGGACTGAAGACCTTCAGCTGTTAGACCTCCGTAGACATGCTCTTTGTTGGGCAGGCCTTGCATCTGTCAGTGCGCCCCAGGGCAGCTGTGGCTACATTGTAGCTCATCGTCACCAGCGTGTGAATGGGTGAGTGACTGAATTTCTTGTGAAGCTCCTTGGGGGGCTGTAGAACCCTAAGAAGGCCATTTACCATTTAAAATGTTGCTTGAGACCTGCAGCATGTGTAGTTGTGCTTGACTGGCCAGCAAACAAGCAAACTCTATATGGATAGGGTTTTGTTGAGAAAAGTGTTAAAGACACGAGATGCAACAAAGCAGATGTTGAATATTGTTGTAAAAGCAGTCTTGGCTTCCACAACCTCAGCAAGATCACAGTCTGGTCACCCCCAGACATTGCAGTTATGCAGCGATTCATGTACTCTATATTTGCTTGGGGCACAATTTGCATGAATAGCTGCATCATTGCAGTATCTGGGGGCGATCAGCCTGTGATTTTGTTGAGTTTGTGCATGGAGGTTGTATATGGATGTAGTTTTCAGCATCCAGCATGTGGGGTCTCCATTAGCTGGACGCTGTAAATAAACACCTAAACAATAGGACTCTATATGCAATGAACTGGTGGTACTGTATGTGAGTTTCACATTTATGAATTGATTTATTGGAACTAAAGTCATTTTTGACAATATTCTAATTTACTGAGATGTATCTGTTACATCAACTTAAAAGTAGGATCCACTGCAAGCTCGGTGCATGAAACTCTATGTAATATAAAAAACAAAACAGACACTGTGGTGTAGAAAACAACAGCTCACAACAACACAAAATTTTGTTTTTGTTATAAAAACCGAGAGTTTTTATAACATAAGTACACAGTTGAGGCATCTCAACCAGTCACTTCACCTGGAAACATGAAGGAAGACATGAACCCTAAATAACAATCTAAAAGAAATCTAGACTTAAACAATCACTAAATCATAAAATGAAATAAAAGAACTAAATTATCTGATTTGATGCTGTGAATCTACTTTTCAGCTATTATACCAAAAGTTT